ATATATATATATATATATATATATATATAAGGGCTGCACGATTAATCGAAATTAAATCGCAAAGGCGATAAATCGCGCTTAGGCAGAAGCTGCAACTGTCATGCGTATCTTTCAGTGAAGCACGGTTCTGTGATCAGCAGTCCGAAGGTCTCCATCTCCATCCGAAGTTCAGAAGGCGCTCTCGTGCTGAAACGCCAAATACGCCTCACAGAAGAACTCCAGGAAATGACAATAGCGGTTGCTGAATAAACAGAAGATTTAACTGCTTTCACTGATTCAACATGACTAATATAATAAACACACGACTACGACAACATATGGTTTATCTGTGTTCATCTTATTATAATAAAGTATATAATAATGCAATGCTAATCGACATAGCCTTTAAGAAAGCCTTTAATTAAACAGGCTTACTGTAAATGCACATTCACAGCAGGAGGCGCTTTCGGAATGGCAGAAATATAACCGTTTCACCGGTAATGGCAGTAAACAAATATGCTCATGTTTATTTAATGAAATCATAGCCTTTTGAAGTATAATAGTCACATTAAGCCATATCAAATTTAAGACCAAATTTAAGACTGAAATCATAACTAAGACTTTCTTGTACAATTTAAGACTTTTTATGGCCTTATATTTCATACAACTAAATTTAAGACATTTTAAGACTTGATTAAGGGTCTATGAAAAAAGTAAAAAAAAGTGCATTTAAAATGCAGGACACATTTCCTACAACACATCTTAGTGACCCCGAACCTTTAAACAATAGTTTACTTATACATGCCACAAAACTACAAATAACCATAAACTTGTATTGCACAAAACAATGCTTCACAAAAAAATAGTGCCCTATGGATTAATTGCATAATGATCAGAAGCATTTCTTTAAAAATGTCTGACTGGAACGCAAATTTACTGACTCACACCATGTCTACACTGCAAAAAAATAGTGCGCATCATAATGCACTGTTTGCTAACATCCCCTCTGAGAATATTTGTCAAAGTAAGAAAACAAAAGTCAACTTATTAGATTTAGGGGGCAATTACTTTTTCACGTAGGGCCAGGCAGGTTTGGACAGCTTTTTTCCCTTAATAAAATAATCATTTAAAAACGGCATTTTGTATTTACTTGCATTGTGTAATATTAGTGTAATATTAAAATTAGTTTGATGATCTGAATCTTTTAAGTGTGACAAATATGCAAAAAATTAAAAAAAAACAGGAAGGGGGTCAACACTTTTTCACATTATACACACAAAAAAAAAACAAGTAGATAGAATAGAAAAAATAGAAAGCTAGTTTTTGTTTTTTGGGGGGCTTTTTTAATAAAGAATAAAAAAATAAAAAAGATAAAAATAGATAAAGTAGAATTAAAATAGAATAGAAAGTGTTACTGTTCTGATTACTTTTCAAAAGTAATTAGTTACATTACTAGTTACGTGTAACGAATCATCCACTGAAGGCAAGCATACAGGAGGGTGGAGGACTGGAGGTGGTCCAGGGGGCGGGATGGAGGGCCAGGCCCGTGAAGAGGAACAGGCAGAGAGGGGAGCCATGGAAGAGCGGGGAGCCATGGTGGAGCAGGCAGAACAGGGAGCCATGGCGGTGCACGCAGATCGGGGGGCCATGGCGGAGCAGGCAGATCAGGGAGCCATGGCGGAGCAGGCAGACCGGGGGGCCATGGCGGAGCAGGCAGAT